CACTTTCACTCGAAATGGAAGTAAGCTCAACAATTCTGATGTATGAGCCATATTCATCATATCTCGTTCAAACTGATGAAGGACTGGTAGTTGAATTAACCCACAATGATATGAGTAAAATTCACATTTTCCCTTAATTTCACCTCATCTTGCCTCTCAAAAAATGGTTCTCATCCAGACTTAAATGGACTGCAGTTTCGATTTCGCATCAACTGGTCTCACCGACACCCTCAGCGGCACGCGAATTTGGGTTGTGATAGTGCTGCATATAATCTAGACACATTCACACCTACACCAGACTGCCTCGGGTACCCTTGCATCATAGGACAGAGGTGAATTGCGAAAAAGACCAGAAATTTTCCCATATCATAATTTGTGGTGGGATTTTCGATGAAGCAATCTACTGCATTGCTTATTTTTTGTTTCATAACTAGCTTTTCAAGGCTTCCGGTGGATAAGATATGTAATATGTATTCATCTTACACAAAATAGTATGAACACATCTCTTATTTCCGATTTACTGATAGTCTGGAAATGCTATTTAAAAATGAAATTTGATTCGAGCAAATATAACTTTGCTTCATCGAAACTGCCACCACAAAATATGATATGTGAAAATGTCTGGTCTTCTTTGAAATTCACACTTACCCTATGCTTCAAAGGCACTATCATAGTTTGATTCCGGCTGGAGGTGCTGAGTAGTCCAATTCATACGAGGTCGAAACTGCAGTCCATTCGAGATTGGATGAGAAAACATTTTGCGAAGGCGGGATCATATGAAATTCCATAGGAACGTAAGGCCTACTCATATATGAAAAAAGTGTAACTACCAGTTAATAAATTGTGTGAATGCATCTCATAAAACATAAGGTTTCGTGGAAGGTATTTGTTCTTCGTGCATCTTTTCATGAATTCATTTCAATGTTCCTCAGACAGTTCATTGTACCTGTTGATTTCATATGATAATGCACGTTGTGTGCTGATGACCATTTGGGCTAGCAAAAGATTTTCATCGTGTGGAGACTTTCTTGTCATATGAATCTGCATGCTGAAGAGATTTGTGGTTCGATCTTGACAAAAGACGACTATCAATTTCGGTTGTTCTGCAGGTGGACACAATCCACGAGATATACGCCCTCGTTTCATACGACGAACAATAGCTCAGATCGTTTCTGACGAGTTCAACCCATGCATATCTTTATCATGCTCATCCATGCCAAATGAAAGCCTCTGCAGAAATGTTTTTCCACGAGATTTATGGAAACGCGATTCCTCTGCGTAGAATTTCATTCTTCCACGAAGTGGCCAAATCGCTGTTGTTCCGCGCCAAAGCAGGCTCAAAGTTGCGTTGCTATTTGGTTTCCAATAATTCCGAATTAATTTGATACAACTCGACGTGTAATGTGGTAGGCTTCCTTTTAACAAAGTATACTGATGCGTTCATTTGCATCGAGCATGCTTTCGCGCCCTGAAGATGTCTGCCATTTCCGGTGTGGTCAATTCATGAATCTCTTCCAAACGAAAAGTAGAGTCACTTTTGGGCCAGATCCTTTCTTCATAGGACCGTATATTCTCCATTTTCGTTTTATAACCAGGGTCAACCCCAGATAGGAACCCCTTTTGGTAAAATATGGAAATGCGAAATTCAGTGGAAGCGTAGGACATACTCATATGATTGTGGAAAAATTAAATTTCCAGTCCTTCATACATATCATGTCAGATATTCTTCAAACTGCCATGTCTTTGACAGTGAAGATGGTATCAATGACATCCTGAGCCATCGCGTAGGATTGTGGGAAATTGCAGCTATTGTCATCACTTTACTGTTTATCACTTTATGCGATCTAGACTTACTCACAATGTACTGATGGTCCTGAAACCTACTCTCCATGAACCATGGTAGTTGGAAACTTTTGGTACCTGTCACACTCAAAAATACTACTTTGTTACGATTGAGTAGGTTCCTGAACTATCAGATGATGCTGGTGAGAAGTAGACAAGGTTGAAACTAAAAAAAAGTATCCATAATTGCTCTAAAAGTCGTTAACTTGCTCAAGATGTCCTAAAGTGGCCAAGTTCTTATTCGATAATTACTGGGATACTTCAAGCATACAACATCTCGGTCAAAGAGATGCTCTGTGTGGGCAAATATATAAAATGGGTGGATCACATTTTGACTGGGTTGCCTCAAAATGTGGACATAATGGGACAACCATTTAATTTTCGTATGAGATTAGAGTTTCGAGACTACCAGTAAATAAGTAGTATGAGATGTATTCACCCTATTTCGTGTAAGGTAATGAAGGACTGGTAAAAGAATTTTCCCACAATGCTATGAGTTGAGCTGACGTTTCCATTCAATTTCACAGAGCCTTGCTTTCCCAAAAGTTGTTCTCATCCAGACAGAAGGGGACTGCAGTTTCGACCTCGCATCGGTCTTATCAACACCCTCAGCGGGAGTCGAACCGCGACCATTTTAGCCATTTTCAAGGCACGTCGTGCCGGCAAAAATTGAAGTGAAGCAGGCGCTATTTCATGAATTTTATCCTGGATTTCGTGACTTCCGAATGAGCGATAGTCCCTTGACTCATCCGATGATGTGTGCCATGACCTTGCTTGAAAAAGTGTGAATTCATCGCTTAAAGCGAGTGAAAGATAGAGAATAACAGCTTGGCGGCTGAGTGGGAGAAAACGCGAAATGAGGTACCAACGCGTCTGCCGCAACTCGACTCAGCGGGAGTCAAACCGACCGACAAGCCCAATGCATACCAAACATGGCTCCACCCACGCCCTACCAACGCGGTGGTCGTCAAGATGCCCGCTGGGCTGAACCTGGCCCCGGGGTCGACTCTACAGGAACCGGTAGGCAGGGTTCCAGAAGTCATCGCCTCGGCATGCGTCGTCACCATTCGAATATTCACATAAATTAGCTTGGAGATAATTATTAAATCTTTAAAAAGTTCCAGTTGAAAAAATTACAAAATCGGCAAAAATCTACGGTACGAAATGTTTTAAAATACGGAGATGAAATTGTAGAAGAAGGCAGCTTGAAAGCCACCTCTGAGAATAGAGGCATTACAAGCATAGATTTTAATGAGAGTGTATTAGAACCATTTTTACCAACAAACCAAACATCTTCATTTCAGTACATAAACCGAGAAAAAAACTCCGCATGCAAAGCATACTACTTAAACATAAATTGTGCACATGTGGTTACTCAGCTAACAATAATGATGCTTTATAGACTGTTTTTCTTTGCTTATAATAAACGTTCGCTTTTTACTCATTTTTATTTATTCCTGGCCATAATACCGGATAAAGAAACGGATACAAATTAAACCGTTTAAAAAATTTTATTAAGCCTTTTAAATGCCAAGGAGCAAATTACAGGTTGTTATATTTCCCAAACGCATCACTTTGAAGTGCATGACACTTATACAGGAAAAATTACTCGTACTCATCACAAAATACCGATGGTGAGTTAGCCTCCCAATGCCATCCACACACACACACATATTTATATATATATATATATATTTATTTATTTATTTATTTATTTATTTATATATTTATATATATATCTGATTAAAAGTATAAGGACCAAGGGGACATGGCCTTTGGTATGGTCTCAGTTTTCCTTATGTGTAATGAAGTGGTTTGACTTCATTTTTCGCAATTGGTCGTATTTTTAGTAAGACTTAGATGGCTAGACCTCTTCCGGAGCCCTCTGTCATACTATTCAGGATTATTTCCAGCCCCAGTCTCTGGACTTGATACCAAGACGATGCAATAAGTCGATAATTTAATGCTGAAAACCAACATGGATATAATGGCAGAGGAATCTGGACTGGGCAGGCTCATCATTGCCTCTTTTTCAGTACGAGCAGGTTGCGAAAACGAGATAAAACCGCTTCTACAAATATTGCTATTTATTATTTAATGAATAAGGTTTCGAAACTATTAGTAACTCTTGGCCTTGCTGTTCCATCGATGTCGTGGTCTCTGGCTGGTATAAGCAGATTAGACATAAACATGTCGAGATTATATGCTTCACAAGCACAACTGGAGTTGCGTTGGAAACCACAATCCAGTATGATAATACCTTTTGAGAATCAAGGCTAAATTACGGTCAATTTAAGATTGATACCTATTCATCAGGTTGTGGGAAAATTCACCCTTTAGTCCTCCATCACTATACGCAACCAAAATGACTATACATTCTCTTCTAGAATGTATTCGCATGTAACCGCAAAAGTCCAGTAGAGCATTGAGTTCATACTACCGCCTATTTTTCGTCTCATAAGTGTTTTATGCGAGCCTACCAATAGATCTAATATAAGAGTAATATTCACTTAATTTCGTATAAAATGATTAAGTTCTGGTAGTTGAATATTCCCAAAATGCCATAGGAGACCTTACGTTTATGTTGCATTTCACATATCT